CCCCAAAACCCCAAAACCCCAAAACCCCAAAACCCCAAAACCCCTTATAAATATCAATCATTGAATATTATTAATCAAATTGCTTATTGGCTCCTCTATCGACATGAATGTGATCCATATTATTGTATGGTCCAGTGAATGAGTTATTTAGCGGTTTTCCTTTCCCATATCCTCCTCCTACAAATAAGTTGTATTTCTCCTTGGATGGTTTGATGAGAGTTTCAGCATCAGGATCTAGGTCAAATGAGTTATCTCTTGGCATATATTGGTCGTCATCATCTGAATCAGAGGCATAATATCCTAGGGTTATTGAGTCTTCTTCATCATATACTGGCTCAGCATCAATATCTGAGCATTCAAAGTCTTCAATATCAGCTGCATTATTTTTCAAAATTACTCTCTGCCAGTTCAGACATATTCTCAGACCTGATCTTTTTGCTCAGTACTTCAGGGTCCATGTTTCCTTCTCTGAGGATAACCTCTAATTCTCTTTTAATTTTTTCTGCTTCTTCTTTCTTCTTGATTTCTTCCATCATTTTCTCGTATTCTTGTGCCTCCATCTTGAAGTTATCGTTTCTGGGCATCTTCAGCCATGGATGTTCGAGCATTTCTTGGGCAGTGGCTCTATTTTTCCGGGTACCAAATTAGCATCTCCTGAAGGAAGTCTGCAAGCGCCTCTGCTTCCTTTGGAATGAATCTATATTTCTCAGTCAAAACTCTATGAAGAGGCCAATAGTTTAGCCCTCTAATTTTCCTTAGATGCCCAGTTGAATCGAAGAATCTCTTAGAATTCTTTCCTGATAAAGCAAAGTTCTTTGGCATTCGTCCCAGTAGCTCAATCATCTGAGCTAGATGGTCATCATCTTTATCGTAGTAGTAACCTTTCCTTGGCTCGAAAAGAAAATCTCCAGTCAATAGCTCGAACACCATGCAGGCTAGACTCCAAATATCAGCACTTGGACCATAAGGAACTCCAATGATTGTCTCTGGAGATCTGTATTGCCTTGTCTGAATCTGAGAAGTGAAGTGGTGGTGAGTCCAGCATCCATTTCCCATATCAACAATTGCGAGGTTGACATCCTCATCAATTTTGGGACCTCTTTTAGTCAATTTGTCGTTACTCTTTTGTTGGTCTTGGATCAAATGGGTATTGAGCAGTGGAATATTTGGATGAGAAGGAGCATCATCCATACCCTCCCCCATTAACTGCTGAAGTTTTTCAAGCTCTTTAGCCTCATCCTCATCAAAATCTCCACCATTGTTCCTTGGTGCTGAAGAGTGCCTAAAGTTCACTGGCTTCTTCTTTGCGCTAGGTTTCTTTTTCTCAGTAGGAGGAGCATTTTCTTTACTATCCTGGGCTACTTCAGCTTCAACATTAGAAGTTTCTGTGTTCTCTGCATCAGTGGTTCCTAACTCGTCTTTAGATTTACTGAGGTCAGTATTAGTTGTCATTTGAGTAAGTCCTATATCTTTTGATTCAATTTCTATCTCTTTCTCTTCGCTATCATTATCTTTAGTCTCTTCTAATTTTCCTTCTCTCCTAAGATTCTCTTGTTCAATCTGGTTTCTTACCTCAGCATAGAGCTTATCCTTCTCTTCTTTCTCAAGGTCATCGAAATTCTCAGGAAGCTTCCCTTGAGTAATGTACTTCTTGATTCTCTTCCTTTTGTTTTTCCTGAAATTCTTTTTCTCTTTCGCGGTCATATCATTCCAGTCCTTGGATTGAGCATCAGTGTTTGATATTGAGTCCTTGTGAACAGCTTTAGTCTCCTCCTTTAATGCTCGAGAGGAAAGAATGATTTCATCATGTGCTCCAGCAACAATTCTTGCAATTTGTTTTTCATCCTGATGATACATTTTTGTAGTTTTTAGAACTCCCTTATCTCTTATTCCTTTAAGTTCATTTTTAGTAAGAGTAATAACCACATTTTCAGGTTTGAGATCAGTATGGATCAATTTGCATACTCTATTCATGTAGTCGAGACCAATCAGGCATTGCTTAGTGAGTTCTCTGACAAGGTGAAGTGGCACTCCTTTGTAGTCATACCTTTTTATAATTTCAAGTAGGTTTACTCCCAAAATTTCAAAGACCATGACATAATGCTTTCCATTCGGCCCATGATGCATGAATGCATTCAATAGTTGGACTGTGTGGCAATACTTGCTAGAATCTTTGATCTCTTTTAACTTTTTAGGATCATCTTTGTAATAATGCTTGAGAGATTCTTGCCACTCCTTCTTCTGCCAGAAGCTACTTACTTGATCTAGAATTTCTACTTCATCGTATGCTGCTTCGATATAGTGCTGAGCTGATTTCTGAACTTTTAATGCAACATAGGTGTTATACTTCTTGTCTTTTGCTAACCATACTGTTGAGAAATGTCCCCATCCAAGTTTTTGAATAATAACATATCGTTCTTTGAAGACTTCGCCCACATGGACAGGATGGTAACCTCCAATTTTGTAGTCTGGAAGTCCTTCATCCTCGCTCGAATCAGAGTCAGCATAGAAACTGCTGCCTAGTTCATCCTTGAGAGGTTTAGCTTCAACTATTTTCTTATTTTCTTCTTGTCCTGACTTTCCATCAGCCATTTTCTTTCTTTGATGTTTGTCGTCATATTCATGCCTCATTTTTTTGCCACTAGCGTGAATATTTTCATGTTGGCCAACTCTTTTGTTATCTTTAGTTCGCTTGTTATCAGGGGTAGTCTCCCCAACTTTGGCATTCTCAATTTTCTTATTGATCATTTCTTCAAACTCTTTGTTCTTCTCATCTTCAGAATTTTTGTCTGTATCTTTACCCATACTATTTTGGATTTTCTACATTATTTAACAGCTGAATTAAGGCGGAAAAGAAGGACCCACTAGGTAGGTGAGCCTGGTTTGAATTTTGAGAGAAAATAGCCCAACCCTTAACTGAGGGTTGTACAAGCAGAGACTTACTTTATGCTTTCCACCGTCACTCATTTTTAATTTAATAGTTTATTCAAATTAAATTAAACAGCCCGGGGTTTTGGGGTTTTGGGGTTTTGGGGTTTTGGGGTTTTGGGGTTTTGGGGTTTTGGGG